ATCAAATACAAAAATTCGATAGACGTCACATGTAGTCATTCATTACTGTGATGACGTCTATTATTGAACTATTATTAGGTCTCTATTAAATTTTCACTGGCAGCTCAAATGTAGCCTTGTTTTTGCCAATATATCAATGTTTAGACATTTATTGGACTTATTTTAAATGCAAAAGAAAAAAGCTTACTTGGAAGGAATGTTGCTTCATGGTGAGAAAGATGCTTCATTCCAAAAAGAAAATGCTGTTTTTATTTCTTCAACCTTGTGTCCTTTCAAAGGCTTTTTGTTCATCTTCAGAACACAAATGATGATATTTGATTAAATCTGAGATTTCTGTCCATCCATTCAGAGTGTGTTTATAGAAGTCTTCCAAAAGAAATCTGAACAAATCAAGTCTTTTGAAGAGACACGGTTGCTCTACGTGATTTAGTTCATGCTTTTTATTCACATATAAATATTGATCGAAAAACATGAACAGGTTCAACCACACCTGTTTAACATGCAAGAAGGAACTTCGCAGGTTCTTGAGAGTCAAGCAAGTGCGCTTGAGCGTTCGTGACTAAATTGAAATGCTGTAAACATTGAGATGTGAATAAAGTCCTGAATTTTTTTTTTTTTGCGGATAAATGAAGTCAGTCTACATCCTGATAAAATTGGATATTTGTGAAAATACAGTTTTCTTTTCAAAACACTTTTTCATCAGCAGTACAGATTGTCCGTTACGTATGTGAATAAGCCTTGCTGCAAATGCAAAAAACGTTTTTTATTTTATTCAAAATTTGAAGGAAATGTTATCACACCTTCATAGAATAAATTAATATTTTTTTATGCATCTCATAAACACTCACCGGCCACTTTATTAGGTACACAGTACTAGTACTGAGTTGGACCCTTTTTCTTTCAGAACTGCCTTATTCCTTCTTGGCATAGATTCTACAAGGTTCTGGACATATTCCTCTGAGATTTAGGTCCATATTGACATAATAGCATCACACAGTTGCTGCAAATTTGTCGGCTGCACATCCATGATGCGAATATCCCGTTCCACCACATCCCCAAAGGTGCTCTATTGGATCCTGATCTGGTGACTGTGGAGGCCATTTGAATACAGTGAACTCATTGTCACGTCCAAGAAACCAGTCTGAAATGATTCACGCTTTATGATACTGCACGTTATCCTGCTAGAAGTAGCCATCAGAAGACGGGTACATTGTGGTCATAAAGGTATGGACATGATCAGCAACAATACCCAGGTAGGCTGTGGTGTTGACACAATGCTCAATTGGTACTAATGGGCCCAAAGAGTGCCAAGAAAATATGCTCCACACCATTACACCACCACCAACAGCCTGAACCGTTAATACAAGGCAGGATGGATCCATACTTTCATGTTCACACCAAATTCTGATCCTACCATCTCAATGTTGCAACAGAAATTGAGACTCATCAGACCAGGCCATGTTTTTCGTATCTTCTATTGTCCAATTTTGGTGAGCCTTTGTGAATTGTAGCCTCAGTTTCCTGTTCTTAGCTAACCGGAGTGGTACCTGGTGTGGTCTTCTGCTGCTGTAGCCCATCTGCTTCAAGGTTCGACGTTTTATGAGTTCAGAAATGCTCTTCTGCAAACCTCAGTTGTAACGAGTGATTATTTGAGTTACTGTTGCCTTTCTAACAGCCATTCTCCTCTAAGCCATGGCATCAACAGGGTATTTGTGCCAACAGATATTTTCTCTTTTTCTGACCATTCTCTGTAAACCCTAGTAGATGGTTGTGCATGAAAATCACAGTAGATCAGCAGTTTCTGAAATACTCAGACCAGCCCATCTGGCACCAACAACCATGCCACATTCAAAGTCACTTAAATCATCTTTCTCCCCCATTCTGATGCTCAGTTTGAACTGCAGCAGATTTTCTTGACCATGTCTACATGTCTAAAGGCATGGCGTTGCTGCCATGTGATTAGACGTGTTAACAAGTAGTTGGACAGGTGTACCTAATAAAGTGGCCGGTGAGTGTAAATGTATGGTTTCTTAGTATAGAACAATATTTGGTTAAGATACAAATATTTAGGTACTCCGGTTTCCCCAACAGTTCAAAGACATGCTGTATAGCTGAATTATATTAACTAAATTGGTTACAGTGTATACGTTTGTGTGTTCCTATGAGAGAACAGGTGTTTTATTCCTTATTCTGTAAAACATATGCCTGAATGGTTGGCAGTTCATTCCGCTGTGTCGACCCCTGATAAATAAGGGACCTAAGGAAAATGAATGAATGATGAGAAACATGCCTATAAATTTGTCCTAATGCATATTACTAATCAAATTAGTTGAGATATATGCAGGGTATACTGTACATTTACATGTATTTTTTGAATATTGCCAAAAATATATCAGTGCAATATTGACTGGTTTTGTAGTCCAAGCTCACATATGTGTGTGTATCAGTTTGGCTAAGATGTGTCCAAAGTTTTATGTTGTGCCTCCATTTCTAAAGGCATTTTTCTCAAGTTCTCACGGCCGAACCTGAATGTTTATTATGCGTACAAATTGAAATAGATTTCCACTAAACTGCTACAACCTGCCATCTGTTTCCCTCCATCTGTTTGTGAATGTTTCTCACAAGCCCTCCAGAGCAAAATACCAATAATTTGCATCAAAGTGTAAATCAACTTCCCCGTATTTCCACAAATAAAAAAATAATCCTTTTTCCTTAGAAACATTTACAAAAACAAGGAAATAAATAAAAAGGGTTCACATTTAGATTCACATTCTGATCATTTATTTGATCCACAGTGTCACCTGCACAGGTTGTGTAAGTCACAGACATGCAAACTGACAAAGCCGGTCAATTTGCTCTCTCACACAAATATCAAAGGTGCTGAAATCATCTCCAGATGGACAGCTGTTAACTATGCCCACCATTTCCTGCATAAATAAAGCAGTCAAGGACACACACATTGAGGCTATTGAACAGAAAGCAGCATGTTTCACCTAAAATCAATTAGCTTTACGATCAATTAACTTGTTTTTGTGCTTTTTCAGTACTTTTAACTGTACTTCACTGGTGTGAATCATGTAAAAAGCTGAACGTTTGTGCTTTAAAAGGTTTAATGCCTGAATCCTTGGGCCAAAATGTGAACAGTTTGTTTGTGAAATGCTATTTTAAATGTCACACGTGATTTGTGCCTTAGATTAAGATTTTAGCTCAAGAATGGCTACAGTTTTAGGCAAACGTTTACATACATCTTGTAGAATCTGTAATGTTTATTATTTACATTTAAAGTAATATTTATCAAAATAAGAGTGATCATCCAACATGCATTTTATCCTTTATTTAGTCCTGATTTTATAAAAAAAGTGACCCCTATCAAAACTTTCCTACATTTTATTTTTTGTAATGGTGTGTAACGTTTTTTTTTTTAGTTCATGAGTTGATATTCTTTAGACAAATCCTTCAGGACTAAAAAATTCTTAGGTTTTTCAGCATCTCCTCTGTATTTTAATCTATTCCATAGCTTATCCATACCCCCCGGGGAGATGGAAAGGGGGGAGGGGTGGAACTTGGTGATTTCCAAAAATCTTAAATATGTTTTTAAACTATTGTAATTATCATATTTTATTCATAACCTACAGAAGATAATATTATTTTAATTCAATTCCCATTTATTTATATATCGCTTTTACAATTGTGTCAAATCCGCTTAGCATAGAAATTCTAGTAATGTCCAATTAATATGTATAATAGAAAAAATATTGAGTAGTTACATGAAAACAAAACAACATGCAAATAAAAAGCCATCAGATTTTTTTTCCATTGGATTGTGACCTCTGGGGTTATTATGCTAGATTAAAAACACAGCAGTAGTGTTAGTTGCAGCAGATTCATTTAACGGCACAATGTTAAACTTTTGACACTTTTACGGCACTTACATACATAAAAAATAAAGGCCTCGACTGAACATGGAGTATGATGGAGTATGACAGTTGTCTTGTGCTGTAAACATTGTGCCCAACAGTCTCAAGTGAGGTTAATTATAAATTAAACAAATAGATTATGACTGTTAAAAAAAGTATGTGGTTGTTAGATTGTTGCACTTTTTTTGTGTCAATATGCTTGTGTTTATATAGACCATTTTAATGTGCTCATGTCTTTTGCCTGTAAACATTTCCTGTTTGCTATCAAACTATTTCATAACTGTAACAAGAGGCAATCATAACTTAATGTTAAAACAGTTATCATAACATTATTTATCAATATGTGGCTCCTTTTGGATTCTTGAAAGCTATTAGGGTTGGGTCGATAGACGATGCCAATATCCCTCGCCGATGGCCGATAGACATCACAATGCTGAGCCGGCATTACGATCCTTCGTCCTGCCCCTGTCGAAGAAGCAACCTGCTCGTTTAGCGTGTCTGAGCTCCAGCAGTCAGTGGGTGCTTTGAACACAAAACCCCAGAGAGCAGTGCACGTCGGACAGTTCATCACGGATGTACCGCTGGATCTTTGTGTCTCACTATAGTTGTTAGACGTGATATTTAATTAATCTTGTCTCTATCTAACGACTCTTCTGTCTTTTGAATCTATCAGGTAACGTTTCACAGAGTTAGTAATCTACTTTAGTCTTTTGCTTTCAGGCTTGTACTTATTCATTTTAGCGAAAACCTCATACTGTTGGTTGTGCACCTTTTTTACCAATCAAGTTTGTCATCGCCATTATAACGACACAGATCACTCTGCCTATTCATGCCAGAGTCGCGCGGAAAAAGTGATTGTCAGGTGGTAATTTGTGAAAACAGTGAGCTACAAAAAATGTATTTGTTATGAATTTATTATTTATTCATAAATAATTAATTAACAACCGCCTCCAACGACGATGCCATCGTCCATCGCGATGTTTCCCATTAGACATCATATGATGCCAAATTGGTCGACATCGCCCAACCCTAGAAGCTATAGAAATTAAAAATGTAAAACAGGTAATAAGTTGGGACCCTTGTTTTTGTTTACATCCCTCAAAATAGTCTATAGTTCCTATTGGTGTGTCTGTAATATTTGTATGTTTATAACCACCTCCAAGCACAGTAGGGGTGTAAGTCACTGTAATTGCTATTTTAGGGGTCGCTTGTTGAAAAGTTTGGGATATGCTGCCATAAATGACTCAATAATTTTGAAAGAAGTTCAAACTCCAGAAGACAACAAAGTACATTACGGTGGGTGAAAACTTTTGAATAGAATATATTTTTCATATTTTTGCCTAAATATCTCTTTTTCTTTCTTTCAGTACTGCACTTCAAAAAGCTACAGAAATGTTTCACTGAAGACGAAAGTTAAATTACCCTAAACTTCAAATTCCAAAAGTTTTCACCCTCCAGCTCTTAATGCATCCTGGAGCATCAGTGAACATTTGACTCCATCACATGTAATATTTGTAAGCATTTTTATATGAAATTTCTTATTCAGGTCAGTTCTAATCAAAATTAACTTGCATTTTCTTTGATCTCTCTTATTTTGCAGATTCTGCTAGATATATGTAAACTTTTGACTTCTGCTGTATTTATTTTGCAATCACAGTTATATGAGACGAGCCAGACTTGACGCAGTCTCTCGTCTCCCCTGCATCTGTGCTGAAATACTGAAGACTCGCACTGTCCTTTCCCAGCGTCTCTGTCCCGGCCCTGTCCTCTCCAAGAAGAAAGCTACTGCAGCGTAAATTCCAACCGCAAACACTGTAAAACTCCCTCCAGCCAGCATCACCACCCCGGATATATACATGTCATTGAGTGCCTTGCCAGGTTTGGGCATGTGGTACGCCAAGGCCATATCCAGTAGCACAGCGCCACAAATAAGCAGAGAGGCTCCTGTGATCAACATAATGAGGATGTCCGACAAACCTCCGCTCTTTAGCATGTTGATCCGTCGTCTGCTTCTCACGCAGTTCATGTCTTGGACGGCGGAACTTAACAGCTGCTTTAGTAGGACAGCCAGAGCGAGAAGACAAAGAGCGGTTCCCGCACCCAAACGCCACTCGCTGGACAAGCTGGTGGTGGTGGAGAGCAGGCCGACGCCTCCTAGGCCGCAGCCCAAGATCAAGGCCACTGAGGCACAGTAGCATAATAGGGATTTGCGAGGCTCACTGAACCACCACAGCTCCACCTGCTCCTCCAGGAGGTTCTGCTGGATGCGGGCCGGGTCAGGATGAGGGTGGCCTCTCGGAGGAGAGTAATCCTCCATCTCTGACATAATGTTCGGCTGGTGGGGTAATGAAGATGGGCTCCCAGTTGTGAGAGGACACCTGGTTAGAGTTCCTGGAAGAAACATGTGGGAAATTAGGTGAGAAGATCAAGGGAAATAATCTTTGTAAAAAAAAAAAAAATTTGAATAAAAGTTCACAGTAAACATTCATGTGACAACATTTTAGTCATGAGAAGGCATTTTGGTGTTCATAAATAAATATTGCATTATTTCATTAATATTAACAATGTGATTTATCAACCTATATTACAATAGATTATTCTGTAAAAAGTGATTACACGGTAAAAAATGCTGGCTTTCACATATTTCCTTCATAATGCCCAGCACAAAGCGATTAAATAAACTTAATTAATAATTCTTTTTTTTTTTTTACAAATTTGCTAATTTATTTGGATTCAGCATAAAACTATTAGATTGTTCCAAAAACAGAGGCAAAGTGGGTAGCACGTTCGCCTCACAGCAAGAAGGTTGCTGGGTCGCTGGTTCGAGCCTCGGCTCAGTTGGCGTTTCTGTGTGGAGTTTGCATGTTCTCCCTGCGTTCGCGTGGGTTTCCTCCGGGTGCTCCGGTTTCGCCCAAAGACATGCGGTACAGGTGTAATGGGTAGGCTAAATTGTGTGTGTGTGTGTGTGTGTGTGTGTGAATGAGTGTGTGTGGATGTTTCCCAGAGATGGGTTGTGGCTGGAAGGGCATCCGCTGTGTAAAAACTTGCTGGATAAGTTGGCGGTTCATTCCGCGGTGGCAACCCCGGATTAATAAAGGGACTAAGCCGACAAGAAAATGAATGAATGGATGTTCCAAAAACAACTTAAGAATTGTGCTGTTTCAACTAATTTAAAATAACAAGCAGAAAAAAGTCATTTATCTGAGTGTAGTTTATTTAAAAAGTGAGTATACACTTTGCTTTTAAAGTAATAAAGTTGACCTTATTTAAAAAAAACAAGTAAATATATTGCCCTAAAATGAAGTAAATGAACTATATGCGGTGACGCAGTGGCGCAGTAGGTAGTGCTTTCGCCTCACAGCAAGAGGGTCGTGTATGGATGTTTTCCAGAGATGGGTTGCAGCTGGAAGGGCATCCGCTGCGTAAAAACATATGCTGGATAAGTTTGCGGTTCATTCTGCTGTGGCGACCCCAAATTAATAAAGGGACTAAGCCAAAAAGAATATGAATGAATGAATATGCATAATTGTTAAGTTACAATTGGTTTACTCGCTTTAAGTAAACATAACATGTTGCTTTAAAGACAACAGATTTACTCACTTTTTTTTTTAACAATTTTTTTTCTAAACTATTTTTACAGTGTATACACACTTAAGATAATTACCATACATATCAAATATCTTTTACTTTCAAAAAACATAATATGTAGTGTTTGCAGGGCTTTCTGGAAATTTACTTTCACTATAAATTGATAATACTAAATTATAGCTTTACTTAATCTTTTTTCTTACCAGATTTTACAAAGTCCAGTTCTCTTTTAAATATATTTGGTTATGTAACATACAAATAACCAATTAAAAGTTTTTTCTTTGTTAAATTCTGTGTTATCTGCTTTTTAGTTTTTTTTTAATAATGTATTAGGAATACACACACACACACACACACACACACACACACACACATTGCTCGGCATGTATAAGTGCACCCCTCACAAATCTATCTTTTAAATTAATATTTTTTAATAGGAAGCTAAATAATCTTATATTTGTGCATATACATTACATTAGTAAGTACTAAAGCCAAATCTGGAGCTGATCTAACAAAATAACTCACGATACAGTCCAAAAACTAGTACACCTAAATTTATGTTATATAAAAATATTAAATACAAACAAAAAAAAGAGGAAAAATCAAGAGAAGCAAAAAAATGGAATTTTTTTGTTGTTGAAATTTTGTAGGTTGTAATTTATTTTTGCAATATTTAGCTTGAATTTAATTGTATTATCGTTCAATTTCTAAATATGTTTGGTGACTAAAATATTATTTTAATAAATATATATGTTTAATTATTCTGATTGTATAAACGCACCAAAATACATTGACTATAATCACTGAGAAACGGATAAAAATATTTATTTTTATAATGGCGAGTATACAATTAGGCTGAACACTGTACTGTATATATCACACTAAATATTTATATATAGCTCCAAGTGTCTTGAAAGTGTCACATGCACAATCAGTCACTAGGCAAAAAAAGAGGTATGTTGAAATGCACATCACTCTGAGTCCTCCCTGATATATGCAAACTCTTTTAAAATATGTGAGAAACTCCATTCTGAAACAAGACCAAGCAGCTTTATCTAAAAATCTGTTAAATAAAATCAGTAAACTTTAAGAGCAAACGCCTCAAGGTTTGCTTTAATTTAAAACTACTGTTTAGTTTAAAGCCTGTTAATGTGGCTATTAAGGACAGCCATTTGGATTCCTGTTGAGAGAAAATAAAGATTTTAAATAGTGAGAAAGACAATTTCCCTCCTGCTCAGGGGCTGAAGCCTTAATTCCTTCACAAATGGCCTGTCTCTGTGGTCCCCGTGACCCTCAAGGTTGCAGGACAGACAGCTTGTCTTTACAATCCCGTAAGTGGCTTTGGCTTCGTAGTCAGCACTGCTGCACCAGCAAACTGCATCTGCTCTTAAACTACACTGCATACATTATAATCAAGGGCCAAGGCAAGCTCTTCTTTTCATCCAGAACCCGTGTGTCATTATTTTGCACTGTTTTTTTAAAGTCAGTCACCTCACACATGTGTGGCCACAGGGGTTGTGTACATGTACGTTTCTGAAGCTTTGATAATTAAGTCTCTGTGGACCTGAGTCTCCTACCGCTGACATACTGCTTCTTTGCGATTGAGGTGAAGCATGAAAAGGGAATAGTGAAATCAAGAAAGCCCATGAAACTAAAACTCCAAAGTCAGTGAAAAGACTACTGTATAATGATTGTTAAAATAATAGTTCACCTGAGATGAAAAATCTGTCATTTACTCGCATTCATGTTGTTTCAAATACATATTGTATAGATCCTGGTTTGGAACAAAAGACAAGGCATTTTACTAATAAAAATGTTTATATATCTAAGGATAGTTGAACAATAAAAGTTTAAAAGATGGAAATGGCAAACGAAGAGCATCAAACACTGTTGTTTCCTTGTTCTCATGTAAATCCTGTAAGTTTAAAAGTTCAATCTATCAGAACAAAATGGAGACTAGTACGTTGTCACATGCTGTGTTCACACCAAACGCGGAACGAGAAATTAAATTGTGCTATTTGTACGTAAACATTTTGAGTTCACTTGCTTCATTCACTCGTCATTCACTTTGTAAAGTTTATTTATAAACTTGTTTCGAGAGGATCATGTGCTTATGATTGCTTGCAGCCAGTCCCGCATTATTCAATTCATAATTCACCAATCAGACGATTCCTAAGCCACTATAAATACCCTAAGTTCCATATGACAGCCATCTTCGTTTGGAAGCATCTCTCCTCCACCCCTATCCTCCTCCTTTCCTAGATGTGTGGAACGATGGCCCAGTGGTTAGCACAGTTGCCTCACAGCAAAAACGTCACTGGTCTAGTCCATACCAAGCTAGCCAACGTTTCTGTGCGGAGTTTACACATTCTCCCCCGTGCTCACATGGGTTTCCCCCGGTTTCCTCCCACCATCCAAAAACTTGCAACTTAAGTTAATTGACTAATCCAAATCTGCACCATAGACATGCTTTTAGTAAGTAGTTATCTCTTAAGAGCAATCACTATCTGTTCCTTAGTTACTACAGCAAGAGTGTTCTTGAGATCTACCTGAGCTTAAACTCCCGTCTCGCCTTGCAAAAGGGAGGAAGCCCTGGGCTTGTGGATCTTATGAGCTCAGGGCTCTCTCCCAGGACAGCATGCCAAGCAAGCTTTATAATCAATCATCAGCTAAGTGTGAACTCTTGAAACAATAGATGCGGATTTGCGTCATGGGCTAGGTTTCTGTCTGCCCGGTGACTCTAGCTTCATTGCTAAATGGCTGACGTGGATTTAATTGAGAGAATAGCTGCGTTTATGTGCTTTAGGAAGGATGAAAGACAGCGTTGATTCGTTTGGCGCCATGTCTTCATGAGTCCACTAGATCCATTCAGAGGTGCACCCAGCTCTATGAGTTCATAAACTTATTTAATTTTGGGGGTCGCGGGCTCAAAAGTTTGGGAAGCCATGATCTAAGCCACATACCTTTCATTTATTTATTTTCTTTTAAGCTTAGTCCCTTTATTAATCTGGGGTCGCCACAGCGGAATAAACAACCAACTTATTCAGCATATGTTTAACACAGCTAAGGCCCTTCCAGCTGGTTCATATGAAACATCCATACACTCTTGCATTCACACACATACACTACGAACAATTTAGCCTACCCAATTCACCTATACCATGTCTTTGGGCTTGTGGGTAAACCGCAGCACCCGGAGGAAACCCACGTGAACACGGGGAGAACATGCAAACTCCACACAGAAATGCCAACTGACCGAGTCAACGTTTGAATTGGCTATTATGCTACCCACTGTGTCACCGTGATTCCAAGCCACATGACTACTATGTAAATATCAGAGAAAAATCTGACTTATTGATTCAGTGCACACTGTGCGCAATTACTGCATTTAGATTTATTTACTGTGTTAAACAATTGGATTCTCATGCAAATCATATGGAATCAAAGGCTAAAAATTATTTGAAAATTTGACAGTATTTCTTGTCAAAAATTATACTCCCAGTTGGTAAAATAAAATCTTGATGTGTAAACAAATCATTCTTTTGACTGATCTTAAGTAAGCTTGAATGATTTGTTCAGACTGATCCAGTTTATTTCAGCACTCTGATTCATTTGGGGTTTATCTTTACTGGAACATTATCAGTGAGCAACAACTAAAATACTGGCTATGACATGATATGATTTGGAATATGCACGTCATATGAACCAGTTTATGATTCTTTTATCATGCTTTAAAAACTTGAAAGATGCAGTAAAAATCTTGTTTTTGTGATAAAAAAAATGAACAAATGAAGTATAAGAGTCATAAAAGTAGTACATAAGACTTTTGTTATATTCCAAACAGACAAAAGAAACTCATAAAGGTGTGGAACCACTTGAAGATGAGTAAACAACTAGTCAATTTTCCTTTTTGGGTGAACTATGCCTTTAAGACGAGCATAATGACATTATAATAACTTTTGAGTGAACTAAACCTATAATAATAATAATAATAATAATAATAATAATAACAACAACAACTTGTGTAAAGCATAAACCTCATTATGAATAAGTGTCACAGTAGAAATATACTCACCCTAAAAAATGAGGTTTCTGTGATGAGACACTTTCTCCATGTGGCAGTTTATCATTCAATGGTGTGTTCAACAAAGTGCAGAAAGAAAAAAAGGCTGGCAAGAAAATATTCTTTATCACCTCAGGGTTTAAGCTTATTATTTGTGTCCTTCTCGTCCCCTTATGCTTAAAATCATTTCTAAAAATACACTGACTTCCAGTTTTGATTTTCGATGGCTCCTTGGGAGGTATTTCTTCACTTTTGAGAAGTCACTGACAGTTGTAGTCCAGACTCCAGAAAGTATATTTATAAGATTGCCTTAAAAAAAACACAACCAGGCCTACCAGACAGCTGAAAGTGTGTAAGACGTAATAGAAAGTTTTGGAAGATTCCTTTCTAAAATCAATGAAAAAACAGCTGATCTGTCAGTGTAGTGGCCTTGGGGCTGGATAGGTATCCAAATTAGCTCTTAGTTTTGTTCAGTATGCCTGCAAGGTTATTTCATAGGCAAAATGTCCTGGCTGTCAGAGCACAAGTGATCCACGAACAAGGACAGAGGTGTTCAGCTTTAGGAGAACCCTGACAGCATTCCTCCTCCTGTTTTTCGGCTCACATCGCTGTTAGCTATTGAAGTTTAGTGGGTTTTCTTGAATATTTAGAGTAATCGGCATCTTTCCCGACAGGTGTGAATGCTGAGCATTGTGGCAGGCCGAGCACGCCATTCATTCTCTAGTCAAGCGATACACTGTTGTATCTCTGACTGCAGGTCTCTGATGTATCTGAGAAAGAAGCATTCATAAAGCAGGCTCTTGTCTTGTCTCCGGTCACCATACAACAGCTGATGCCTTGTCTAGCATTCTCTTCATCTCTGCCCGGTTGCTAGACTAAAACAATGAAGCAAGTCTTTGAGTCCTTCTCTAGGCCAGGATGAAGCAGGTCACTATCTGCAGAAACAAAGGAAGTAAAGAATGACAGTTAGAAGATGTGCAATACGTCTAATTCATCAGGGTTTAACCAATTGCTTTTGATTGTTAACAGAGGAAACTGCTGTGAGGGGAGATCTGAGCAGGGTGGATTTTGCTTTTCAGACGGGCGAAACAGAACAAACTTTGCGGCAAGGTGGAAATGCAACTTTCATTTGTAGGTATCTTACCATGTAATATCATTATATTTTGTAAAAAGTTTAATATACAAGCAATTCCATGCAAATGTTAACCTTGACATTTTAAGAGTTTTTAAGATCCGGTGTATACCCTGATTTAGTGGTTATCCTGACTGGAACATTATCAGTGAGCAACAACTAAAATATGACTTGATATGATTAGGAATATGCACGTCATATCAATCAGTTTATGATTGTTTTGTTGTGCTGTAGGAACTTGTAAGATGCAGTAAAATTAATGTTTTTAAAAAGGCCATAAACAATGTAAAATTTTACCAAAATAGCAAAAAAGGTTTTTGTTTAAGCAAGTATTTTACAGTAATATAAAAATACTCAAAAATGTGTCTGTCACTGTTTTCAAACAATTATATTTGATTTACTACAATCACATAAGTGCCAATTGCACATCTGTCACATCAATAACAGAGAGACGTCACATCCATGACGAAACTTTTCCTTCATAAATGCAAAAACGTCAAATAAAATAAAATCAATCATGTTTGTTCTATTGTTTTATTATCTCTTGGGTTGTGCAGATTAATTCACAGAATTTTTATTGCATACTGTAAATTCGCAGACTTTTTTGATCACATCCATAATGCAGTTTTTTTATTTTACAGATTGATATTTTTTTTTATCCCATAACTCTGTAATGAGTTGTTTTGGAATGTTTCAATATAATCCTAACCCTAACCTAGCAGCCTACAAATAATCTAATGAGAATTAGTTGGCATGTAGATGCAATGTAACTTAAATTCAACAAAATGCATTAAAGGGACCATCAAAATAAAATGATACTCATACACTTTCTTTGTGAATTTATATTTTGAGTTTTTACTGCAGATGTCACATCCATAACACTTTAATTGCTCCAATATTAGTAGAGGATGACACCATTTAAAAACAGTGTTCATACATTTTTTTCTTTATAAACCACAACTGAATTGTAAATCAGCATGGCGCGTATTCTTCATAGATTTATTAATCTCGTAATGCCAGATGTTTGGGTGTCCAAACTCAGTCCTGGAGGGCCGGTGTCCTGGAAAGTTTAGTTCCAACCCTAATCGAACACACCTGATGCAGCTAATCAAGCTCTAACTAGACATAGAAACTTTCTGGCAGGTGTTTTGAAGCAAGTTGGTGCTTACGAAATTTAGCAAGACACTGGCCCTCCAGGACCGAGTTTAGACATCCCTGTCGTAATGAATGCAAACAAGCTTTGTGAAAAATATACAAGTTGACCAAACTGAGACAAATGCTGTTTGCTTCTAATTATGCAAAAAGATCTTAAAAGTGCTGGATGTCCAAAATCTAACTATTATTTAATAGCAGGCATTTTACTATCCCATCAGGACACAGGAGAGTTTGTAAGGGCTCTGGTAGGTCACATTACACGTACAAGACAAATACATATACATTTATATTACACTAAATTCGTGCTACAAATATTCATACAATTAGCACAAGTGGCTCAGTGGTTAGCACTGTCGCCTCAAAGCAAAAAGGTCGCTGGTTTGAGTGCCAAATGGGCCAGTTGGCATTACTGAGTGGAGTTTCCCCCACAGTCCAAAGACATGTGGTAAAGGGAATTGGGTAAAACAAAACTGGCTATAGTGTATGTGTGTCTGTGAATGTGAGAGTAAATGGGCATTTCCCAGTACTGGGTTACAGCTGGAAGGACGTCCACTGCATAAAAAATATTCTGGAATAGTTGGCAGTTCATTCCACTGTGGCGAACTCTGATAAAAAGGGACTAATTCGAAAGAAAATGACAGAATGAATGAATGAATGAATGAATGAATGAATGAATGAATGAACTAAATTGTAAATCAGCAAGGCATTTATGCAAACAAGCTTTGTAAAAAAAATTCCAAGATGGCCAAACTAAGAGAAATGCTGTTTGCTTCCAGTATGCAAAATGATCTTAAAAAGTGCTGGATGTCCAAAATCTAATTATTATAAGTGTAGGCACCTTACTATCCCACAAGGCTGCAGGAGAGAGTTTGTGAAAGACCATAAGCAATTCTGGTAGCATTGTATTACATTTATGCTACAAACACTATTTAGCACAAAACAACAGGTCACCAGAATAGTTTAAGGGAATTCAATTAAGTATAGATGGGAACAGGCAAATGCAAATCAAATTCAAAGTGCTTAAATTGCACACCCTTTAAAAAGGGATTAATTAAATTAGTGAGTATACCTTAGAGTAAAACTTGGATCTGTTAAGATGACAACTTAATTCTTTATAATGATGCTCATATATTTATTTTGTATTATTTTGTATTATTAAGACAATTTTGCATGTTCTCCCCGTGTTCGAATGTGTTTCCTCCGGGTGCTCCGGTTTCCCCCACAAGTCCAAAGACATGCGGTACTGGTGAATTGGGAAAGCTACATTGTCCATAAAGTATGAGTGTGAATGGAGTGTATGGGTGTTTCCCAGAGATGGGTTGCAGCTGGAAGGGCATTTGCTGCGTAAAACATATGCTGGATAAGTTGGCACATATTTCGCTATGGCGACCCCTGATTTATATAGGGACTAAGACAGAAAAAAAAAAAAAAATGAAATGAAAATAACTTATTTTTAAATGAAGTCAACTAACTGCTTTAAACCTTATGGGTTTACTCCCTTTTTGATAGTATGATTGACTTGTTACAGATTAAACACAACAAAGGGCATTTGCACAAGGGGACAAGAAAAATGTGGAGAACTCCAAAGTTCCCTTTAGAGATAAAAGTAAGTTTAATTGATTTGGGTCTGGTGGGAAAACATGTTAATTATCACACTATAGGAAAAATACTTAATACAAATGTGAAAGGGGGAGGAAGAAGAAGTCATTGTTTGGGACTTGTTTTCTACAGAAGTTGCCATGCAGATGCATATCAGAGTGAATGTAAATGTTTTCGGCACATTTCAGCACAGAAAACAGTTAGATGTCATTTAATCATTCATTTTCTTTTCGGCTTGGTCCCTTAATTAATCAGGGGTTGCCACAGCGGAATGAACTGCCATCTTTTCCAGCAGATGGATTACACAGCAGATGCCCTTTCAGCCACAACCCAACACTGGGAAACATCCATACACTCTTGCATTCACACACAGACATTATGGCTAATTTAGCTTATTCAATTCACCTGTACCACTTTAGACCGGTTTGGACCGTGGGGGAAACCTGAGCACCCGGAGGAAACCCACGCGAACACGGGGAGAACATGCAAACTTCACACAGAAATGCCAACAGACCCAGCTGAGGTTCGAACCAGTGTCCTTCTTGCTGTGAGGCGGTTAAATTCTTGCTGCATTTTTTCTTTGTTGTTGAATCAAATGAACTTTTCTAGTCATCTTAACCTACACAAGGCAAACTGACTAAAATGTTAAAGAAATAGTTCACCCAAAAGCTAAAATTACATCATTGTTTACTCTCACTGATGTGGTTTTAAACCACATGAGTTTCCTTCTGCTAAAATGCAAGAGAAGTTATTTTGAAGAATGTTGGTTGCTGGGACCCATCGGAATGAACAGTTTTTCAACAGAAGAAAGAAACTCATAACGGTTTTAAACATCTTTTGCTTTTCATTTTCAAGTTAAACTTTGTATAACTAAAAAGCAGTAGTTGAAATCCTGTCAGTTAAATGAAACGTTTATTTGTTATTATTATATCATGTATCATTTATTGACTTTTGTCATTTTGTTTATACAGTTTGGATTAGGTATCTAAAACCTTTTCTCGATTTTTTTGGCATTTATACATGTACAATCATGCCGAAAAAGTAAATTTTACAGATGGGCAGTTTATAATTGACAGCGCTTATGGCAGTCCGAACCTACACAACATGCCAAAACTTTACACTTTACTCCGTATCAATTAAGTTATGTTGTGCTGTACCTGAAAAGGAAGAAATGAATCTATTTTCTATATGATTGAGGTCCTGGAGGGCCAGTAGTAAGTTGTTATGGTCATGCCTCTTGCTGCCCGTCTCTCCTTCTTGCTTAATCCACATTTTATCAGCCTGCACACATGGCTCAAGTTACTGTCAGGCATAACCTCAGGAACAAACTGCAAACTGCAGCTGGCATGGACTGTTACTCCAGAGCTGCATAAACCACCCTTGATTCTTCACTCTTAATCTCTTGCTTTTTTCAGCTGAGAATTGCGTTCTATTTCTCTGTTTCTGACTCAATTTCACTATCTTATCTGTCTTTTCTCATGTTGCACTGGCGTTCTGTTGGCTCGGGAGGGTTGGCTTTTTGAAAATCACAGCTTCGGCTCCCGGTGCTCTTTCTTTTCATCATAAAAGTTAACATATGCCACGTACCTTATTCCATCATTTCACATCAAGACTCAGTGGTGTCATTACAACCTCTTTTTCCATCAGTACACTTTCCTCTAAAGAACACTACTTCATTCTTACCTCTCACTGCAGCTTAGCACCACATTCGAAGGAGGAAACAGAACACAAAATGACATTATAAAGACAGATTGCTCAATCTTGCTCTGCGCAAAATCGCAGTGTTCTCTATGTATGATTAACTCTGCAACAATAGACCTGGTGGATTTTATGGGTGTGCAAATAGGGTAGGAACATAATATGAGTCATATTTCTACAGAAATCTTTGAGAATGTCAGAAAAGGCTGAAATACACTATATGATTAGCCGTCAGGACGCATTAGGGCTAACAGCTAAAAGTCATTGCTACTCTGCAAATTTTGGGTAGTCAAAAATGATTCAAAGGATTGGAGCTTGGAAAAACAGGGTGGACCTCAGTGGACCCCAAAG